ATAGATAGTAAACTTCTCTGTGTGTCTGTATTTATGTTTGTGTGTGCGCGTGCGCACGCTAGATAAAAACGTATCATTTGAATGTCCAGCAGTCCTTGCGCGCATAATTATGTCTTACTTGGAAATTGTTGCAAGTCTTTGTATCGTGGCATTGTGCCGTACTTAAGTATGAAATGAGACTATGCCATAGATAAGTGGACTGTCATTGTCATAGATGCTACAAGCTTTTTTATCTTTTTTTTTGTTGTATGCTAAAGAGGCTGAGTCAGTTATAGTTTGGTTGGTACTTAAACATAGTATTGTAGAAGAATTTTACAACTGAAATTAGTAACTGATAAAAATAAAAAATCTCTGGACCGAACTAGTTTATTGATAGAAAATCAATTGAACTACTGGCAAAAGAGATATTGGATTGATCGTTAGACTATAATTGGGTGTATAGAGGGTTTTAGTAATGTAATCAAAAGTCATTAATTGCATTGTAATATTTAATTGACTAACAAATAAATTCATATCATCTCAAATTGACATTAATACGTTTCCATATAAGTACGTAATAATTTTTACATAAATTAAATAAAATTTTCATAATTTCTTTACCAAGTAATGTGCTCAAGTTATATTATATTAGTAGATGTGAATTTAGAACTATAGGTTAACTTTATCGTTCGAGGGCGCTCGACTAGTTTCGGCCCACGATCGGGGCTCATGAATCATTTAACTAGTCGAGTATGACATGAGTAAATTCTATGTATTCCAATTAATTTATCTTAATAGTAATTATACAAAAGAAAAACTATATTTTAACATTGAAACGGCTTATGTACTGTAAAAATGAATAGTAATAGGCATAATATTCTATGACAACTGTACATTGCGTGTCCATTTTAATCATTACAATAATGACTTGAGCACATTAATTAGACCTACTTGTTAAAGTTAGCATTCTGGCAGTTTCATAAGGTACGTGATAAAATAAAAATACTCCAATTTCTGAAATGGCGCGTCTTTTTAACTACTCGTTAATAATATTAATAAAACAAAGATCGAAGTCGCCGTTAAAAATGGTGCGTTGACGTCCCATTCTACGTGATTTTAAATACATACGTCGCCGTTTCAGAAATTGCAGCATAATAAGAGATGCTAGACAAACGACTTTCATTTGCTTATTCTAATTAATTTATAACATACTATATCACATTTTAACAATAACCAAAGCTAGCATTATTTTATATTTACATCAAACTAGCGTTGCCAAATTGTTTAAAGGTGCACGTGGTACAAAAATTACTATAATTTTATATTTCTTTTCCGATTAATATACTCAAAAATCCATAGAATCAATAGTCTCATAAAAGCAAAAATATATAATACATAAGAATTATCGCCCAACGTTTATTACAGAACTATTTAAGGTCCTACATATTTTATTACATTTGGTTGCCTAAAGCGACTACAGCGCCACTTTATCAGGGGTTTTATATTCTAGTTTACGACGTTGTATTTCACTATATTTGTTTATTGTAAAAATATCTAAATAATGTATGTTTTTTTCCAATATAATACTATTTATTTTAGTCCATATTTGATTTTAAATTACTGCAGAAACTAATAAAATGTTACTAAACTTCTATTTAAGGCCGGTAGCCTTTAGCTAACTCTTAAACGACTATTATAGGCCGTTAGGTTCTCCTTATAAATAAATAAGCATACCCTTGATACATAATTCAAACGATTACATACATTAATTACTATACGTTAACTAAGTATTAAAATAAAATTGTGTTGCCAAGTAAAAAACACGTAAAAATAATAGAAAATATATACAAAATAATGCACACGCCCATTGGAATGTATATTAAGATATTATAGAATTAAATTTGTAACATGGCAACTATCAGAGAGCCTCGGGGTTTAAAATTAGAAGATACATACTGTTCTAATACAACTTATTCAATCGATTTTGAATTCTATTCCAAAACCATAGGTACCACATCAACAGCAAAAATATCTGTATATTTGCAAAACCCACTTAGATGCATTATTGGTTGCACTTTGTGTCTTATAATTAATGTAATAAAATTCAAAATTGATTGTTGAAGCTGTAAATAAGACGTAGTAATTGTAAATGTTCTTTTGTTTGAAATGATGTTATTATAAATGAAGGGTGTTTCGCGTTATACTCTATCCATTGCGCGATTTCTTAGAATATCAACTCGAGAAAAGTTAGGCGAAGCGTCAATGTAATACAATTTTATAAACATTACAGTCTTATGTTACAATTATTATATTTTATTGTATTTTTACGCATATTATATGTCATTGGTGTTTAAGCAGTGTCTTATATCTAGTATATTATTACAAATAGGCCTAGCACTGTAAGAAGCTCAGATTTGTATACTAAAATACATTATAATAACTAAATAGATTATATAATTACAATTATAAACAGTGATTCTCAACCTTTGGGCCTTATAGTTAAGGCTTTTTGACAAAATTGACCAAAACATAAATACTTAAATTTTGAGAATCACTGGGTAAAGTTTTAGAAATAGACAGTGATAGACAACATTTATATTTGTGTGCGATTTTTAAAAACATCAATAACTTTTTAGGGACAAAAGTGTACTGGAATATAGACAAACTTGCGCATGCTCTTGAATCTTCTTGTGGCTCAGTATAAATTCTACGAAGGAACAGAGCAAATCAACAAATCAAACAAACAAATTATTAGTCTATAAAAAAACACCCCTTAAAACACTATTAATGTTTTTAAAACCACTCTGTATAATACGTGTTAATGTCATATATCTCATAAAAAGGTTGCATTATCTGTACAATTGACAGGTAATAGAGTAATTTAGACATTTAATGTTCAAGATATCAGATCCAGTGTTTCATAGACAAGCTGTGTTACAAAATTTTAAAGCTTCGTAAATTCATTATACATACGAGTACTTATATTAAAGAGCAGAGTATAACTTCAAATTGTGTAATAATTGTGTTATTTTGGTAAGAATAATGTGTAAAAATGTGCTTATTGAACATAGCAAATTTAGGAAGCCATTAGATTATTTGTAGATTAAAGCCAAAGGCACAATAGGGGGATAAATGTCCTACGACACGTGTCGCCAGCGCCGTGGGTTGGCGTTGGGTGAAGTACCGCCACGTTGTCGGACTTTGATCGACATGACTGGTAACATCAACGTCGCTTGGAAATCGGCAGACATCGCTCATATGAGCTGCGGAACAGGTGTTTTCAGAGGACCCGGTGTCCCTTACAGGTGTGCTAAGGGTGGCCACCGTGGTTTTAGCGAGGTACGAATCCCACACTACCTAGTCTTTCTCCCCAAAAAGCTAGGTACCTTTTGAAGGTTTCCCCCGTCATCAAAAAAAGGCTTCGCTCATATGTCGACCATACATGTCTTGGGTGGGACATTTGTTCTAGTGTATCCTTGGTTTTAGATCAATTTAAATACGTACTGGTACAGAAATAGATAATTTGCCAAAAGATATTCTACCTTTTGCATAGCAGTGCAAGATGGAAAGTCGCAGATGTTATAATATGTCATTTTCTTGAGGTAATATCCTCATGCCATATAAAGTAGAAAATAGCGTATCGTAGGAATTAATATCAAAGGAATTGAAAAGTCGTGTCGAACTTCAATTAAAGCTCCCTAGACCGAATGTAGCTTAAAACGTGTGTGTAGTATTGTTTCAAAGTAAGCATACTTAATAATTCCTAATTCTCTCTACTATTTAACAGCTTAAGCTCTTAGATTTTAAATAGCTTAATTTACTAATGGTAACAATTATAAAACACGTTTATTGGATGACGCATTTCTTTTTCAATTGGTCTTTTATACTTAAGCCATAATACATATTTGTCACATGGGACAAGCACTGAAGACTGTTTTGACTTTTGTGTTTTATATTTTATTAGAAATCTATTTTGATTTGGCAGTATAATTTATTATAAGTCAAGAATTAGATGTTTACTATCATCGAATTTCTAAAATTAACCATATCTTGTTCTTATTAAATCTGAGAATTATCTGCATTATAACTCAAATAGCATCGAAAGATGAAAGCCTTAAAAAGGAGGTGGTGCTTTTCTTTGATAGTTTTTGCATTTATATTTATTGGTGGGATTGTCAGATATAAACATGTAACTGTCGCCCGAATACTGAAAAGCTACTAAATTTTAAGTTGTATTTAAATATCGTGCTCTCTCTGTCATTTTACATAGAATTTCTAGAGACAGACAGTGACAGAACTATACTTAAGCGCGACTTAAAATGAGTAGCGTTTAAGTATTTAAACATTATTTAAAAGAATCGGCATTTTTCTTTACGCCTTTTAAAAACATAGTTTATAGTTAAGTAAATAATTTTAAGATATTGCATATTGTTTCGTATTTATTGGCTGTTTGTAAATTCTGTTTCAAATCCAAATCGTCGTACGCGGACGAAGTATTGAAACTTGCGTGTCGACTCGAAAGCTATATCTGACTTTCTGACATTGTTTAAGTACTCAGTGCTAGTAACATAATAACATAAACGCTTATCGAATAGAATAGTTAATGTATGCGATTCACAGACGACGAACTTATTAACCTTCCCATTTATTACTTACTTATTGACTTATTTATTCTGTTCTTGTCTCTCTCTCTTTGTGGCTAGCGTTCATATTATCGTGTACAGTAATTTAGAGTAAAAGAAGACCAAACATCATATATGAACAGTAAATTACGATATATGAACAGTATGTTAAGTTCGAGTAGAGGTTAAAATATGTTTTAATAATAACTATCGTGAGACATAGTAAATTAACTAAAAATGCCTGGTTACTCACGTGGATATACTGAGAAAAGCTCTACTAGTTTCGAGCCACAGTGGGGCTTTTCTTCATGAGACATGCGTAGTAGAGCTTTTCTCAGTATTTTATATACATTGTTAATTTTCTTTATTATTATCATTTATCTCTAATTTCGTTCTGGATTATAATTCATTATAAATAAATGCTAGTCGTTGTATGTCATCTTGTGTGCACATACTTGTGGAAGCATGGTCTGCCATTAACAGGTTTATGTTGTGTATAGCGCTGTATTTCTGCTTTGTGTACCTATTGAATAAATAAATAAATAAATTTTCACGTGAGTAACCCGCGATTTTTAATTAATTTAGGTTAATAATAATCAATATTTTTGGTTCTATTTGTAAATCACTGTTACAATTTAGATCTAATTTTACCCAAAATGTACTGCACTGGTTCCATTTCCAACAGTAAGGTAATACTAGCTACACTATCTACAAGTGACTAGTGGTTACTTATCGTCCGCCTTAGGTCCGTAGTACTGCGCCGCAATGTCGAAGAGCTCGCGTCGCAACTGTTGCGCATGCGCACGCAGTTGTTGTTCACGTGCGCGAATGTTGCCGTATTGTTCCTCTCGCTCCTCAGTGTTTTGTTTTACTAACCAGCGGAGGTACAGCTCTGAAATTAGGAAAGGAATCATGATTTAGTCTTCATGATTGGTCAGATTATGATGACGCAATATCTGAGACTCCTTTTTAAGCATTTGCGAGCACTTGACGCAGTCACTAGAGATTTTTACAGAAACATTTCAGCTTACATAGACTTTACATGGCCCTTCAAAACCATACTGCTTTAACAAACATCAGACAGTAAGACGATTGCCTCGTTGGCCGAGTCGTCGTAAGTGCGACTACGGTAAGGTTTTGGGTTCAATTCCCAGGTCGAGCAAAAAATTACTGGGTTTTACTATGACTTTGACTGCCAATAAAAAACTGTTGAAGGTAAATCCTCTGCTAACGCCGGTCACCGGTGACCCCAATGGCGTTTAACGTGTTACAAAAAATCTCAGTAATAGCACGGAGTCTGGATTATGCCCGGTTCAACTCCTATTACATGGAAATCATAACATAAATAGTGAAAATTGGGTGTTACATTGTACAGTGGCATTAAGTGCCGTAATGTGCGCCTCTGCCTACCTCTTCGAGGATAAAAAAGCGTGATGTGATGTTATGTTATGTTACGATAGATTAGTCATAATGTTTACGATTTTAACCAGCAATAAAGTGACATAAAAGGCTTTGAAATATACCTTCCCATATAACGAAGCTCATGGGGGCGACGGAGGGCCAGATAACGTTGGGCGTGGGATCGTAGAGCGGGTTGATGTACTTGGGCAGCTCGTCGGGTTGGTTCAGCCACGACCAGAGACTCGTGGTCTGCGAGTATACGCCGCGGGTCTCTCTCTCTTGTTCATTGTCGCACATAAATGTACCTGGAAAAGAGGTGGAAGGTTCTATAGTTTAAAGTGATCGGTGGTCTGAATGCGGTGAACGATATCGTGGACATAGAATGCAAGTGGTAAAACGTCATGAAATAATGAAAACAGACGCTCGCTATCGCGTTAGTTCTTTTACGACAGCATAATATTAAGTAATAATATGTAACATAGCTAAAAATCATTACAATTAAAAGACTCGTTGCCGTACTTGAATTTTGTTGATCCACATAAAATAAATTGGGATGATGACAGGGTATGAAAATTAAAAATCTAATTAGCCCGTAAGTTAGGTAATGAAAAAATATTAGACACGTATTTTTTTATTTTGTTGTACAATAAAACAATAGGTACTTAGATAAAACGAACCAAAGTTTAAGAGTGGGGGCTAAAACGTCATTTCTACGTATAAAATGTACATACAAGTGACGTCACGCGACATTTCAAATCAATATATCGTCGAAAGTATTCGTTTCTGTAAGAAAATAAAAAATACGTGTGTAACGATTTAAAATAATCTACCCGACGGATATTAAAATAAAAATTAGGCATCTACCCTATTACACAGAATCATTAAAAAAACTTCTCTCATAAATGTAGAAAATCCAGAAAATCGTAGACAACTTCATATAGCACATTTTCATTGCATACTGATATGTTACATGACATGTATTTTATTTTACAACATAAGTACGTAACGTAGCGGTATAAGTGAACCAATCAAACAAGAGTAACAAATATCCATACTCACCAAACTGACTAGCATAAGAATGTTCAAAGAGGGTGATAAGAAAAGACTGTCGGAACTCGAAGCTGCAGGGGAACTGCTCCAGGAACTGCCTGATGCAGTCGAGCAGGAGCAGGAAGGTGGGCGCCGCGCGGGCGCTGGACGCGCCGTACGGACCCACGCGCTGCCGGGAGTACCACGGGTGGCCCGCCGCGTTCCATTCGCGCTCTATTAGCGCTTGTAGGCTGTGGCATACGTTTAAAAAATATATAATACTAGCTGTTATCCGCGGCTTCGCTCGCGTCACAAAAAGATAAAAAGTAGCCTGTGACATATACCAATACACACAGCGCCATCTATACGAATACTTTTTCCCTCGGGAATATCAAAATTTTCCGGGATAAGAGTACCCTATTATTTAATCCGGACTTCTAACTTTACGTCTGCAAAATTTCAAAGCAATCGGTTTAGTAGTTACGGCGTTAAAGTGGAACAAACAAACAAACTCACTTTCCGATTTATAATATTATAAGTAAGGAAGTAAGGATTTACATTGAAAAGGGAAGCATGGAGCTGTTAGATTCACAGTCATAAAATACGAAATCTATATTATTGTATATTTTTTTCAATATCAGCCCCCAAGCCCCATACGTCCTAGTGGTTAACCGCGCGTCTAGCCGCCGGTTAGCCGCTTCTTCAATTTTATATGCAACCGCGATAAAACCGCTATGGTAACCGACAAAATACCTAGGCGGTCAACCGCTGGTGTATCTGAGGACTTTTTAAGGGGAAATAACTTCTTCTGCCTTAGTTGAGGCGAGAGAGAGTGTCAGAGTCTTACTGATTAAAAACCATCTCAAATGGAGCTTAGCAGAGAATTTCGAAACAGAATAATAATTTATTTAAAGTGGCTATTGCACCCAACTCTTGTACTCAAAATGCGATTTCGTGTCGACTTGCCCAAAGTGTACTTACTTAAATTTTGAACTAAAAGTTTAAGCTTTAAGATATTCACAATTAACCAGTTCAATGAAAACCATAAAACATATAACTTACCCTCGTATAGTTCTGCAGTCAGGGTTTAGTATAATCTGGACTAGAGAGCAAACTAATAACGTGGCATCTTCACCGCGCGTACCATGGACCAGCACGGGTTCCGCTTTCTGTAATCAAAAAATGTTTATATTAAGTATTCGAGTCTCTCACTCCTAAAAAGTGTTTTTTATGGTATAAACCGGTAAACGGTCATATGGATCTCCTAATCGTAACCAATCAGCGTCGCCCATAACCACTCGAAACACCAGAGGCATTACAAGTGTGTTGCCGGCCTTTAGGATATTCGAGGATTGTTAGGATTTGTGGATTATAGAGGAGAGTAATTTGGGCCTCTAGTAACCTCACTGATACGACGAAACATGTGAAAGGGAATGCTTTGCTATGTCTTATTACATACATACATAACATCACGCCTTTCATCCCCGAAGGGGTAGGCAGAGGTGCACATTACGGCACTTAATGCCACTGTTAAATGTAACACCCACTTTCCACTATTTACGTTATGAGTCCCATGTAATAGCATGAGCCTATTGCCATAGACCGGGCACAATTCCAGACTCCGTGCTACTACTGAGTATTTGTAAAAACCCAGTAATACTTTGCCCGACCCGGGAATCGAACCCGAGACCTCTTGCCCGGCAGTCGCACTTGCGACTACTCGGCGAATGAGGCAGCCAACTAGTTAGAAGAATTGGTTCTTAAATCTCGTAAATAAAGTGACTTTAATTGACAAGAATATTGACAAATGGGAGACGTAAGTATCGTCGTAGATCAATCAACCGTACATATCTACTTATATATAGTCTTATTATAAAGTAAATGGTTCTATGAAGGTAATTCTAGAGACGTTTGTCACCTGATGTATATGCTGTGCGACGATGCAGGCTGTATGCAATGAGTTCCGCACGCTCTCGGGCCAGCCGCACGACTCCAGCCGGGAGATCCACTTGTCACTCGATATCTCACGGTCGTTGCACGCTGCGAACATAATTATATAAACACTAAATTAGAACTAGCTTTTACCTTTTTCATATTTTCCTTCTCCTCTATTAATATCTTCTGATTCATTTCGTTGTGGGATCCAAGAAAGTTATTCATGTCCTTGAGACGCGGTGGACTTCAGCGTTCCGGTGTTTTTATGGTTGTATCTACAGTAGATCCTGGTTTACAGGAATTGCAGCGGTTTTGGGAGGTTGTGGCAAGCTTGGCCCATTAAGAAAAAATCTGAGTGCTCGGCTTTTAGAGGCAAGGGGGTGGAGGGAGCAATTAGGCCTTCTTGATAAAAAATTAGAACACTGTACCATCGATTAGTTTCGCATAGCTGTCCAACAGTGGTTGCTGATTGTCCACCTCGTCCATAGACCTGTTGTATATTTTCCACTGTGAGTAGTTCGAGTTGCTCTCTGTTCCACCACCTGGAAAGTTAAAAAAGTATTATTTTTTTTTTGAATGACGGACTGTTTAGTTTCTGAAAACTTCTGGCTGTGGCAATATTTATAAAAAGCACTACAGCTTGATCTCTGTCAAATGTGTAGTTCATCGTCAGCTCTTAGGACACCAGCTAGGCCATTGTGTAATATTTCAATTCAAAGATCGAAGTGACCTCCATCGCGGTTCGCCATTACATTAATTGTGACAATATTCTCGAAGGTTCGATCAAGCTCACTTCGAATGTCCGATAGTTACAGAATTGCCCAGCTGTGGGACATGATCAGAGGTGGTGACAACTTTGGTTCACTCTTCGGACACCATAAGGCACACACTTTATTGTCACACTTGAGAACTGCTTCGCTGGCTGAGTGGAAGTGCGACTGCCGGGCAAGGAGTCTCGGATTCGATTCCGCGGTCGGGCAAAGAATAACTGGATTTTTAAATAATTCTCAGTAGTAGCACGAAGTCTGGAAATGTACCCGGTATATGGCAATAAGCTCACCCCCTATTACATGGGACTCATAACATAAATAGTGAAAAGTGGGTGTTACATTGTACAGTGGCATTAAGTGCCGTTATGTGCACCTCTGTCTACCCCTTAGGGAATAAAAGGCGTGTATTATGGTTATGGTGAGAAAAGGATCAATCCCACATTCCGGATTTTTGTTGAGAATTTTTTATAAGCTTATTTACGTGGGAGAGCCATGCTAGACAACCTGTGCCACAAATGGGCCGGCTCAATTGAAATAATAGGGTAGTTGCCTAAATTTTATTTTAATATTATTTTTTATTTTCTCACAAAATTAAATACTTTCGACGATATATTAATCTGAAATATCGTGTGACGTCACTATGCGCTACATTTTGCAGCACTTAGTGACGTAACGACCGACGAAAAATAAAAAAATACGTGTCTAATATTTTTTCGTTATCTAACTGACGGACTAATTACATTTTTAATTTTCATTCCCTGGCAACTACCCTATTTCTTGGTTATCAGATAACCTCTGAGAAAAAAATACCTTTATTCTGCTGTTGTGATATCGAGTTAGAGCTGCGTAGATCGTATATGATGCCTTTGGTGCCGGCTGCGACCACTGCATTCAATATCGCCTCGTCTGGTCGACACCGCCTGTGCTTCGGACCGTACAGCGGCTGGCCGGCGCGCATTAGAACTGCCTGTAAAATGTATTATTCTGTTTTAAAATATATACATGTTTTATAGCCTATAGCCATCTTCGATAAATGCAATATCCAACACAAAAAGAATTATTCAAATCAGACTTGTGGTTACGGAGATTAGCGCGTTCAAACAAACAAACAAACAAACAAAAAACAAACTCTTCCGCTTTATATAATATGTAGTATAAGATTGTGAGTACCGTCTTTGCGGTCGGGCCCCGTGCCCAGGGCCCCCATCCTCAGGAGGCTCCGAAAGACCGACAATTTCTAGGACGGACACACACCCGCTACACGTTGCGCGGTAACCGGCTGCCCCACAACGTTTAGCGGGTTTGATTCCCGCATGGAGCAAATCTTTGTGTGATCCATAAATTGTTGTTTCGGGTCTGGGCGCCACGTTTAGGTGAACTTGTATTTTTTTTTGTATGCTTGTAAATGCACCCACGATGAGAAAATCTTAGTGTGGGGCAACTTTTAAAAAAACAGTCTAAACGGGCCCCGAATTATTATGCCAAAGGGCCCCAGGTAAACGTCTAAGGTCCCTTTTCACCAACGAAACTGATCACGATTACACCTAACAAAACTGATTTAAAGCGTCTAATCGAATTTAAAGCGTTTAAACGAAGTTACAGCTTCATTTTACATTTCACCGCTACAAACAGAAACTAGTTTACACGGAACTCAGTACAGAAAACACAGAACACAGAACTTAGGTTACTTTAAACTTAGGTTACGTGTAACTGAGTTTTTACAGAGCTTGGTGAAAAGGGACCTTAGACTGCCCTGATTGTAAGTACTTTGTCATATTAGCAAAAATAGTACCTATTGGTACATTCACAAATTGATAAACACATAACTACATTATCCTTGTTTATGTTATGCAGTGCGCAGTCAATTATTCTTCAGGCAAAAATTATTTATTGCATGCCAGACCAATTACAATCAAGCATCCAATCAATTTTAATCTTTTACATTTTTACATTAAGATAATTATTTACGTAGTTTCTACTCCTTATGACCATTGATACAATCAACTTCAAGTATGTTTTTTTTATATTTGATAGGCCGACGTTTGACCATTATCTCGCCTGTGCGCCAAACGCCACTTTAGCGCTTGTCTACAGAGAGAGTAGAAAACTAAATGTATGGGGACTCTGACAAGTGTCAAAGTTTACGTCAATTCCATATAATTTGGTTTTCTATTCTACATGTAGACAAGCGCTAAATGGCATTTGGCTACAGCTCCTGGTGGTAAGGCGATGATGCGGTCTACGATGGAGCACGTCGTCCCATAAGCAACCTATTCACTCGGGTCTTGAAGAAAACTTTGTTCCCTTCCGAAAATACAGACTGGCAAAGGATTCCAATCCTTAGCAGAATGCACAAGCACAAGGAAGCTTGATGCGAAGCGCTTCGTACGTGTGGGACATCTACTATGAATCGGTGATGCTTCACTGGTTGTCTTGTGCTTATAACATAATAATAATATTATTAATTGAATACATCATACTTACTCCATTATTATGTCTATAAGAGAGTACAGGGAACCGTCCTCCCTGCCTGAATGTAGCTGCGGCGGCGAGGGTGTCGTCATCAACACACTTGGGCACCACCACCGCCTTCCCATAGCTGGGACACACTGAGTAGTTCTGGTTCACGCGCGAAACTCGCCATTCCTCAGTCGCTAATACTTTTGTGAATTCGCCCTCTATGCTGAAGTATAGTAAAAAGAGGTAATTTAATTAAAGTTTTGCACAGAGATAACTAGTTCATAGTGTAATTAATTTGAATGTGGTAGTCATTGGCACTATGTAAGATCAACTAGCTAATCCCACAAGCGAGTTAGCTCTTGTTTTGGTATTGAGCTAAACAAAGTATACTACTGCACATTTAATAGAAAAAAAACAACAGAATATTGAAGGTATAATTTTTTTTTCTTTCTTGAATGGCAACCGATTCTCCAATAAAGGGTACCAATTAATTAACCTATTCTAATGAGTTGAGAATACCTTAATGTTAAGAAAGAAAGAAAAAACATTTATTCAGCACCAGGCACAATGCAGCATAAGTAGTTATTTAATAGTAGTTAATATAGTTATATTGATTCACAATATTGTCAGTTGAAAACCTGTTGATACAAATTATGAATCACATTCAGCATTCGAACACATCAGGAAGCTGATAAGTATCCCCTATATTTAAATTGTACTACATGATAAACTGAAAATTGATGTTTAACAAGTAATGGATATTTTAGGTATCAAAATAATCAACCACCCCATTCCTACTCCTGCACTTTAAACTGGTGCCCCGGCAACCCGTAAGTCCTCTGCAGAATGTAATAAGGGTGAGTTCATAAATTAAGATAAACATATACCTGTAAAGAGTGTACCCATTCTCCACAATAGGGTGCATATGTCTATAAAAGAATGGGTAGAACAGTCCTGGATCTTGTAATCCAGACAAATTCTCAAGGGTTTGGGCCATTTGGTTCAATTCATTTGTTGTAGCTATATCCAGTTGGAATATCCTCAAGTCCTTGCATTTGAGGAACAGGGAGCCACCCTGGGTGACTCCACTGATTGGTTTGTTTTCTTTCTTTTCTATACAGTCTATGTTCTTGTGGAGAAGCTGAAAAAAAAATTTTTTTTTTCTTTATATTAATTCATTTTATTATTTTCAACTGTTCTAGTTTTTAAACAATTCAATATTCGTTTTTTTATCATAGAAATAGTTAGGTATTGCAACAGTTTTATATGTATAATAAATAATAATCCATGGTTTGCAGTCAATCTATAATTGTAATTCCCAATTTTATTGATTTGACGCGCAAAGGTTAATAGACATTTAAACAAGTATTATTATCTGCAATAAATGTAACAAATAGTTAGTGGTAGTTGCAGAGTGCAGATACATGAAAACAGATGTGTTGACTACTTGTCAGCTGATGCTAACATTCAAATCACTTTGGTACATTGTAATAGAATTCTTTTACTTAACGATGCCACTGGAAGGTTAAGAAATGCATGAAAGTTACGTTTTCTAATTAAATAAAGTAATTAAACATACCCATAGCTCGTGAACGCCTTCTTTTCGTGAGCTCAAAATAAGATGATGTCCTGTGATACATACTGTTCCATCCACATTGTCTTGGTGCGGATACTTCAAAATAACACCGTCCAATTTATTAATGTGTATCAATTCAATAAACTCCATTCTTACAAATATTATCACGCAGTAAATAAATAATTCTAAAATAATAAATAATCATTTAGTCCTGACGTTGACATAACTTCATTCATTTCATAAACGGTTTTTAAGTTGGCAATCAGCTGCACTCTGCCGGATTGACATTTCATATCAAACGATCGGACGTAAAAATAATTCGATAACGAAAAGAAATGTACACAAATTGAAATTAAACGCTAATATTATCATGAATCGAACGCTTAGTGATTATTACACAATTTCTTATGGATGGATTTTGATAAAACTGGCTATTATAAACAATGAATAACAACACTGGCTAACTTCACTCTCATTTTAAAAGAGTACCACAATATTATCAACAGCCGTTACACGCGAGTTAAAAAGAGACAGTGCGATACAGCTACTGTATGTTGAAAAAAGAAACAACTAGCTATATGAAAGAGATGTCTTGAGACCTATTGTAACTTCCTTGTTTCTGTACGTTGGCAGTAGCAGCTCCATCTGTGAGATAACCAATAAAACTAAACGTAGCTGTACGTGCGATGGCGATGTGTGGATTTTTTCGTTGGTTGGTGATATTTTTTGATCACAAAACAATTGCTAATTAAAATCTAAGTCCTATGAGTAAGATTCAGCTGCTACTGCATCCGGTGAATAGTGTTTGGTGTATTCGTGAAGTGGACAAAAAATAATAAACCTAGTGGTAAGCCTATGTATTTGTATGATTGTATTGAAAGTAGGTATGTAAGTAGCTGGCAGGGTGGTTGAGCTTGGGTAATGACCGGTTCCTTTAATATTTAGATATCTATTGTTAAGACATAACAGCAGACTACTATTCAAGTTATAATAACCACATTTTCTTACATCACAAAAGGTCAAGCTAAAAATACCAAGTTGTTGTTTTGTCACAGGTGATGGAGGAGAGCACGGAGAATCACATGGAGACAGACGTGTCGTCCACGACTGATGATGTTCCTGAGACGCAGGAAGTAACAGGCTCCGACGGTAACGTCGAGATGATCATAGTTGTGGAGAAGATGGATGACGAGTCAACAGCTGACGACCAATCTGATGAGCAACAGTCTCCAGTTCATGAAGGTACCGACAGTATAATGACACCAGAAGACAAAGCACCAGAGAAAGAACAGGTATCAACAGTTAAACTACCACTAAAATCTCCAGTGAGTTCTCCTATAAAGACGCCAACAATCACTCTTGTGAAATCGCCAGCAAGATCTCCTATTAAAAGTCCAGCCAATACTTCAGTCAAAAGTCCAGCCAATACTTCAGTCAAAAGTCCAGCAAAATCTCCAGTTCAAAGTCCAGCTAAATCTCCATTAAAGTCTCCTACAAAGTCTCCCACTATTGACGCAGAAACTGTAAATTCTACAGAGGATACTGAGATAGTAATGATTGTGGAGACTGCACCACAGGTGCCCGATGAGGTTTCAGCACCTGTTGCAACACAACAAGTGGAAGTGACTGTAGAAGCATCACCAATCAAAGAATCTCCAGTTAATGAAGCAGAAGACAAACCCACCCAGATTCTAAGTCCAAGTAAAGAGGTTCCTGTTCCAAAGTCTCCCAATAATGAGCTGCAGCCTTCAGATTCTGCTAGATCTACACCAACAAAAGAAACTATAACAAATGACAAAACAACAGTCAATGGCAAGGTCCAATCAAATGAAACTAGTAAAATAGGTGACACAAATGTTAAAACTGTAACTACAATCGCACCCATAGAAATCACCATTGAAAATTCAAATGATTCTCAAATTGAAACATTGTCTGACATATCAGAAAAAGAACACAAGGGCATTAGCAGAGAATTGAAATCCTTAATAAAATCTGCAAAAGAATCTAAGATCATTAGTGAGTGTACACAATTAAAAAGCAAGACAAGAAAGTCTAGAAGTGCCTTAGACACATCTAGTTCAAGTTTGAATTCTTCTTTGTTGGAGCCTGGTAAGATACATGACACTAGAAGAAACAGTGATAACTCACAGAAGAGCAATTGTAGTGAAAAATCTGATAAAACACATCTCAAGAGGTCAATGAGGTCACAAAACCCGGAATTTGTTAGTAAGGTAAAGCAGTTTCTGAATTCTGTCACTGGTAAAAGTAGTAAAGACTCAGATGATGAGGATGATGTGGTGGAAGGCAAGGATAAGAGTGAAATATTAGAGCAGGATGCTAAGGGGACACCTCCTAAACTTAAAAAGTCTGAACCAATTGTAGTAAGTATACAAACTTTTATTAATTACTATGAGTGTTCATAATATCATTATAAAGTAATTTATCTATGTGATTATAAAAGTCTAAAATTCATAGTAATAAAATAATTATCTAGACAAAATTAGGTAGCTAGCACACTTTCTATAATTTGTTTATGACACTTGCTTTACATTTTTAATTGCAGAATAACCTCTTTGCACAATATTTTGAAGTGGCCAGTAACTCATTTTGAATAATAGAGGGGTATATTGACATTGTATGAACAACAAAATGGCTACCTGAGCTTTATCTTGTCATTAATAATTTACTAACAGAAACTCTTGTCATTAAATTAGTAGTTTTGTATCTCATAATGGTTAGTTGTCATAATAATTCATTGTTGTTAGACAAAGTTATCATTATTAGTATTACTCATTTCATCTCACTTTTTCTCTCAACAAAAACCTAAATTAAAGCATCTGCAAATTACTAAAACAGTTTTAAGTCATAACCTATTTTATCAGATTACAGAAAATAGCAACAAGCTTCGTTCAGACCCTTACTGTTGGCGTTGTCACTGGGCAGTGGAGCATGCTACCAATGAGAAGATGCATCCTCCGATGCACTGTACAGTTTGCCCGAGAACCTTCCATTACAAATGCTTGACGGGTCCAGAGAAGAGCAAGATAAATGTGGAGAAGAATTGGGTGTGTCCTGAATGTATGATAGTTCTACAGGCTGAGAGCTCCGAGACCAGGTAATTTTACTTTATTCTTTGAATTCCTTAGAACTAATGGTATGCCTTATGCCTGCCTTCATTCTGTAGACTGCATCTCAAATTGGATATCTTTGTTTGTGGCATAATGTCTCATTTTGTTTCACAAGGTTTTTACACATTTTGTGTAAGAAAATATGTCAAATTTACTAATAAAATAAGGATTTAAAAGGAAATACGTCAAATTATATGCCAGTATAGATATTGTGAATCATGCCCTTAGCTTCATTGTTTTACACCATACCTTGTAAAACAAATATGAATTTAATTTACCTTAATTGATCAGATTAAAAACTGATCAATTTCCCTATAATGTTTGTTTAACGAACTATATAATTGATACAAATATGCTAGCTAGTGCTTCAAGCGAAAATAGTTGCAAATTGTTTAATTTTATCATCATAATATTTTAGCTCAGATTAATTTCAGTATGTAGGTTATCACCTGGCATTGAATCTTTTTGTTACAAACAGCTATTTTCTTGAACTGTTTCCTTCCTATCTATTCTTATTTTTGACGTACTTGAAGACATTATTTTGATCAGGAATGTTACACAAATGTACAGTAATCCAGCCGATAAATGTTTAATGCATAAGACGTGTGTTAAACTAAAAAATGGCGTCTTATACAGCATGTTTCATCGACCCCATTTAAAGTAATGTTAGCCAAATGCAACACAATGTGTCTTCAATGAATTGAACATATTTCCAGGTCGCCAGCCATGAAGAAGATATCCCTTGGAATGCTCTGCGATCTATTGAAGCACGCGCTGCGACGGATGACGGAAACGAATGGGGTAATTTGTCCGTTTTATTATTACTACCTACGTTATTTCTTGTCATTGATATCTACCTGCCATGCAGATTATGCGTGCTGAAATACAAAGGTCGACTGACACGAATATTGTGTCAATCTTAACTAACATATCACTAACATTATTATAACTTTCATTATTTATGCAAATACTAATTTTGCTATCCATAAAGTTATGAAAATCGATGACATGTGCGTCTTTGTTTTGCTTAAGTAAACTAAAATGTGAAGGTATTCGTAGGAATATTTGTAGATTGTGAGCTATAACTATCATGTAACAGCGGCGGTGTACTTTCACCGGATCGACGCATGAACCGACACAGCCGGACAGATATTAAAATGTATGTAGCGCTCCGCAAACGGTGCGCGGCTGGCGCGGCCGGCGGGCGGGACTCGGTGAAATGACCTTGCTACTTATCTACGTAGCTGCGCCGCGCGGACCCCGCGAACGACACGCTCCCTCTCGCTCTAACAGAACAAATCAATAACGAAGCGTCACTATTGCTGTCTCGCTCTCCCACCTACCGCTAATAATAAACATGTGCGTGTGTTGAACATGTATTGTGTGCTGCATTTTTCTTGATTCGTCGGTTTGTCATGCTTTTATATTAGCAGAAATTCTTAATATAAGATTTGGCGATATACGTTGTCGTGCATGATAATAAACCCAATTTTACACAAGATATGAATCACTGTTTATCGTCTCGTCAAGTAGCCAGCCCTATAGAAATCGTTTGCATTATGCGTATTGCGTAGGTATCTAGGTCCGCCTACGTAGGAACTGGGCAAGCCACGTATAACCGGCGAGTCCACGACAACATTTCGCATATAATTTAGGCACAAACCGGCACTAGCTAACTTGTAAAACCTACATAAGAAGCATTATCATGAAAAATTACAAAATAGTTGAAATGTTTTTATGCAAACAAATAAATGCTTTATTTATCGATATTACTATTTAACATCCTTTAAAGCCCAATAATAAGGCAAGAAAAGATATGATCGGTATTCAGGACAGCTAATCAATAAAGAGAAATTTAAATAAATTACCGCTAGGTAGTCTAGCTCGCGTTAGTGGACTTATTTCAATGAGCATTTAACACACAATGCACTCTTTAGACGGTTGTATAAACATAGGCAATCTGGTACTAACTAGAGAGAGAGTAATGACTGGTACAAATTGCACTTAATTTTTCTACATTCCTACTAGTTTTGCTTATTAAATTGCGTGTTATACTTCTAAGAAAGAACTAAGAAAACGTAGATTATATTTATTATTTAGCGCTACACAAAGTTCATTTACCCTTAAACAAAATTACATTAAAAGAGTGTGGGAGAACCATGCTTCGGCACGAATGGGCCGGCTCGACCGGAGTGAAACCATGGCCTCACAGAAAACCGACGTGAAATAACGCTTGCGTTGTATTTCGTCGTGTGAGTGAAGTTATAGGAGGCCCAATTACCCTTTCCCAATCCCTGAATCCCCAACAATCCTCAAATTCCTAATCCCAAAAGGCCGGTAACGCCCTTGCAACGCCTCTGGTGTTCCAGGTGTCCATGGGTGACGCCGATTGCTTACCATCAGGTGATCTGTCTGCTCATTTACCGGCTTATACCGATTATATAAAAAAAAACTTCCTTACTCTCCTAATAATAAGGAATAAGTATCCAATATACATATTACCCATGGTGTTTTCTATTGTGTCTCATATGCCAATAGATAAAAGGTTAAAACTCCTTTCTTCTGATTCCAGGTGGAACCATTCATGCAACCAGTAGACCGTACAGCATTTCCAGATTATGACAAGTATGTGGTGCATCCTATGGACCTGTCACTCATGAGAGACAACATCTCCGAGGGCCTGTACGGCAGCACAGAAGCGTTCCTTGCCGACGCGCAATGGATACTGCACAACAGCATCATTTTTAACACATGTTAGTATATTTCCTTTTGATTGTTAAATTGGTTTTGCGGTGTTTCGACGGTAGTATTACCAGCACTTCTGAACCTCACCCTAGGTGTCGTACAAAGAATGGACTATACATTTAACAAAGATCGGGCATTAGTGTTCTTTTTCATAGTGCTTCAAGTGAAATCTGGATATTATGTATGTTATAGTTTATATTACGACTTGTTTCGTAACACACAATGATTACAGCTTATCTCCATAGCAGACTAAGAGGTACTGTGTAATCTATTGAGCTATTAGGGACAAATTTATCGATGTTGATATGGCTTGAACAAATATTAGAATATTTCTTGAAGAAATCAGTATACTTTAAGACGATTTAATATGTATCATGATGTGTATATTTCTTTCTTTATTTGTAACAAATTAATGTTTATTTTTATTTTTCAGTTTATACGTTTATCTTGTTTTATATTCAGTTTTCTTTAAATTGGTTGTGACAATCACAGATGAAAACGTGTGTCCCCCTTCAGTGCAGTCTAAATTGACGGCGGGTGCGCGTGCGCTGGTGCGGTCGTGTCGGTCGGAGATGGGAGAGATCGAGGCGTGTCCGGAGTGCTACGCCGCTGCGCATGCGCGCCGCCCCACCTGGTTCACCGACGTCTGTTCCACGCCCCATATACTTTTCTGGGCTAAACTGAAAGGTAATTGTTTCATTCTATGTTTTACTAGATATTCGCCCACGACCTCACTCAGGAGTCACACTAACTGCTGTAGATCCATCCCATAGATTAAGATTGTCGCGGTCATACACACGCAAATGATAGGCTCATCGTTCGCTTGATAAAATTGACGTGTAAAAGTGCTGCCTTGTAGCCTATTTGCAGAAATAAATTCACTTGTTTCACAGCCTCTTTTTGTTATAAACCTTACATATAGGTTTTACAATTGTGCCAAGTGGACCAGCGACGGTAATAAAATCGCGAGTAACCGTCAGATACAAGAGACTCGTGTTGTTCAGCGTAGCGGACCAATGGGGTGATGATGTGTGCAATCATAGTCGAAAGATATCTTTCGACGATAATAATGACAAATACCTGCTTAGTTTGCCCTGAATCTTAGCACTATGACATGGTTGTTCACCTTTGTCCAGTTATAGACCTCGAGAAGTTTATAAGAATGATCAACCAATTATAATCCATCTTCCAGGTTTCCCCTTCTGGCCAGCGAAAGGTATGTCGGTAAACAGCTCCGGTTTGGTGGACGTGCGCTTCTTCGGAGCACACGACCGCGCCTGGGTGCCTTCGAAAGACTGCTTCCTGTATTCTGAAAAAGACCCGAATAATTTCAGAACTAAACGACAAGATATAATTGACAGTATGCAGGTAAGATTATTGTAATTTTTTAATAATTATAACGTGAATATTATCTCTTTAAATAAGAGACGTTGATAGATTTCAATATCAGGGTGCTTACTCTTGAAACCAATCTCAATGTCAATGCAATTTCAATCCAATAAAATCTCAATTATGATTCTGTGCCAAAACTATACAACCCCTATCGTAGCTAAAATAGCATTCAGGGTACGGAATATAAAGCCAAACTCAATACCATTTAGTTAATTCAATATCCACACAATATTGATGCAATGGGCGCTAGTGTTGCAACTCAAGAGTACGAAATTTCACAATGCCAATGTCGATCAATCTGAATTGGATTCAAGAGTAAGCCCCTGATGTTGCCTAATACAGTATTAAATTTCGTTCTTCATTCTTCTACTGAGGACTGACACGTTTTCTGTAGTCCGAAGGGGCGCCGCATATGCTCGCACTCGCACTCGTTCAGGACCCTGTCGCTTTGACATTGGTGGACATGTTAGTAGACGAAAAGTCCGCTAAGTCGTCCATTAATCAGTGTTTCTACTGTTTGTAGTCGAAAACAAAGTAACACGGACGTGAATGTGATAACCAATCTCAAAGCGATATTGACATAGTGTGAACGAATGCGAATGTCGGCATGTGCAGCGCCCTTAAAGGATAGACCAAGATCAGTTACATGGGGAGTTGTTAGTCTAGAAATCAATTGAAATAAAAATTAAATTTCCGTTTGTTAGCCTTATTAAAACTCGAGAACGGTTGAACCGAATTGGCTAATTTTGGTCTTGGAATGTTCGTGGAAATCCAGGGAAGGTTTAAAAGGTAAGAACAAAATTTTAGGCAGCACGAAGAGTCAGCTAGTTCAGAATAAGACAAAGTTACATAAATCAATCACCATGTAATTGGGGCGAATCGAATTTACTGACTATTATGATAACTAAATAACTCTATAACCAGCTTAAATATATAAATACCTGCTTCTAATTTAATAAAACAAATATAAATGACATACAATACATATTCTATTACAGGAAGCAGAACAACACATTCGGAATATTTCAAGAAAGTACGGTCGGTTCGTCTACCCGCCTTTCAAAACACCATTTGAACCCAGCAGAATGAGTGAGCAACTTAAAATGATGGTGAGTTCTAGTTATAATTCGCAGTTACTTTAGTAGATGGAGAGGCCCATAATATCTTTAATTTGACCTAGTCAACCTGTTGAACTTAAAAAGGGACCTCTCATGATCTTTCCCTTTTATTTTCTCATATTCCCTATGATCGAAAGGTTCTCAAAACTATCAATCACTGGACGAAGCATATGTCCAAAATAGAAGACCTAGCTCATGACACATACATATATTGTAGATGTTTTCTATATTAGATGAATCACATATAAATGTATCATAAGTGATAAATGTGCCTCTAATTACAGATACCAACATTTGAAGGCGATGTAAGGTCACTAGTCAAAGAGAAGCCGTCTCCAGGTGTCAAGGGGAAGAGCAGGTCCAACTCCAAAGGTTCAAAGTGTTCATTGAACGATGGGTAAGTACTGAGCAATACATATTTTGTACATAGGGTGATATTTTGAGAAGCTTGTAAACTTTTTGTTAACAAATTATCGTCCTCTCAAATTATTCCAAGCCTTTTAGGGTTTATCTAGCTCAAAAGTACTGTTACACATGTTCTTAAATAGCATGCTAAAAGGCATTCTATTTAGCATGCTCAAAAATATTCAAAAATCGAACGCCTGTCCATTGGCAAGTATGAAACGAGCACGCTAATTGGGTAACGCTAATTTGGGTTTGCCAACTAGTCAAATTCAATACTTTTCTCGAACTATCAAAATCGACAGTTTTCTATGAATTTTGTACGATATTGTGTATTGTGACGTCACGTTTTATTAGCGACAAACAGCATACTTATTTCTAAAAATTTGCTGGAAATGTACTAAAATTAAGAGTTGGTCATAAAATCAATGAATGAAAGTGATAATTTTTTAATAATTTGTTTTCGATTTAGGAAAGTACCCAATTTTGAGAACATGCACAAATGCTAAGTGACAAGTGCTAGCATGTGTAACAGTACTTAATTAATTTCAAGTATCAATGTATGAAATCACTGTTTTGTTGCATATTTACTGAAATTGTTTTTTTCTCATTGCTATAACTAATAATAGCCAAAGCCGCGGGTTGTAGGATTAGCTTATAGAAATATCGGAATAAAATGTAAACATTTAAAAAGTAGTGAATTTTACTACTTGGACATATCCCAAAGAGTATGTTAGCCTTGATATTCATGAAAGTTTAAAAAAAATATATTTTACGAATTATGAAATCAAAAGCGATTTTTTTCTTTAGACAAACGCTTTACATGATTGTTAGTGCAAAGTCATTCATTTCAATCCTCAATACAGAAAAAATCGTTGCATTTTCTACATTAAAAAAAAAAGATATTTTAATTTAAAACAAAAAACAATACTAATAAAAACTGGCCTGTTCTAAATATAAGCTTTATTCACTTCGCAATACCTAATAATAAAATTCAAGATGCCGTAAATATCACTAGGTTGCGCCTACACTCGGATAGTACGGATTCGGGTAGTGACGGGGAGGAACTACAGCGTCTATATGCTCTCCTAGACAAGTACAGGTATGTAGTAACGCAGGTCAGTACACTCTCATACTGAACTATGGCTTAGGTCGCACTACTACTAAAACTCTCGAGGACAAATCCTCCGCTACCGTGACCCATATTTTGTTGTCTCCATGGCGTTCAGCGTGTTTGCCGCGTGAATACAAACGCCTACACGATTTATTTCCGCGACTAATTTTAAAATGTTACCAAATTGTCGCGAAAATATAACGCATTTGTAATTCAAAGAAAACTTACTGATAATAGATAAAGATATAAGGTTAACTGGTTTCCCAGTTTATAACCGTATATGTATGTTGGCCGGTTTTGCGTTAAATCCCGTAGTGCGGCCTCGGCAGTACCCCGGTCATAGCTCTCGTGGCTAACTTAAACCTTGTGATAACTGTGCCACCACTATATGTGCATACTGCTTATATCTGAACAGGCCTTCCACTATATTATTATTACTTAACCAATTTATTTTCCTTTTCTTTATATACCCACCTTTGTCACAGCCTTGTTAAGCAGCAATTTCGCTGCACAATTAATAAGTAAAGGGATTCAAATAAATGTGTTTCGTTGTTTTAGTGACGCCAGCGAAACGGATGATGCGCCAGCGCTGCCGGCGAGGAAAATGGCGGACGGCGCCGAAATAGCTAAAGTGGAGGAAGATGAATCTAATGTTGAGAAGTAAGTTCATTGCTATTGACTTTTGTACAATTAATTCTGCTGATAAATATTCAAATATTCACATATCTTAATTTTTACAGGGAAGTGGAAGTTGAAGTTCCAGTCAAATTGAAAGAAAACACTCAAACTCCTACGTCAACTACTTCTAGAAAGCGTCGTCGATCAGATCTTGAGGAAGCTGTTATCACTATCATTGAAACCAGCGGCAGCTATGAGAAGCGCAGTCGACGTAAAAGCTTTGTTGAAACCAAGAAACCTGACGCACCAGAACCTACCAGCAGCAAGGTTGTAGACACAACTACTGACAAACCTAAGGGCGAAACAAATAAGACTACACCTAAACAGACTACACCAGTCAAAGTGAATGAACCACTAACCAAACTCAAAGATAGCGAACCATCTTCTAGCACCGAAAAGGACAAAACGCAGAGAGTAACTCCCATAAGGATAGCACTAGTCAAAGAAAGACGTCATTCTACCAGAACCAGCTCCTCCAAGGACCCAACTGCCAAAATTATCACTCCTAATAAAGACAAAGAACAAGAAAAAACCACGCCCCAGAGGCCTAAATCTGCAAGAAGTGTTGACAAACCTTCATCGGCTACTAAACCCGAGAAAACAAAACCGGAAAAGGTCGACAAAACACCTAATGCGAAAGCCGAAAAAGGTGATAAAACACCGAAGGATAAAACTACCAGAGGGAACAGGTCCAGAGCTGAAAAACGAAGTAGTTCCAGAAGCAGTCGGTCCACTAACAGCACAAGCTCGACACGATCATCAGACAAAGCTGAGAAAAAATCTGATGGGAAGGCGAAGGATAAGTCTAAAGAAAGTAAACCCTCAGCAAAAGAGAAAGACAAAGATGGAGATGCAAACAAACCGACAGTGGCCGCACAGATGTCGCCCAAACCTGTACCAGATGTACAGTCTCCGAAATCTGTTAAAGATCGGTTGCACTTCAACGATAATACTACCTTAGCTGTTCTAGCGCGGGAAACTCCGAAATGTAATAATCTAGTAACAGTAACACTTTGCAACAACAGTGGGCTCCCTACAATCAGCTCCGTGCGAAGTCTCTCCACCACTGCGCAGGTTACAGGCGTGACTATAACTAAAACAATGACTAATGCGACTATTGACATCACAGAAGAATCGTCCACCTCAGATTCGAGTATCTTTACACCTACTAGCTCAGAGAACGTGACTTCAATGAAAGAAGCTATGTCGAAACTGCAGAAACTACGTAATGATACGACGGAGCCGGTCGTGGGGCGCGTGGGGGTCAGAGCGTTCGCGAGGATGACATCTCCGGAAAGACACACCCCTAACGAAGAGGTGCAAGTAGAAATTAAGGCTGAACCCATCGATCTCGATGACCCGGAGAGACATAATGAGAAGATGGATCTCATGAACGCTTTCAGGCTGCGGCCGGTGAACCCGCAGAACGTGCCGACACCGACGATGAATTTACGGGACGTTCGGATAAACAAGGTGGTGGTGACGCCTCTCAATGCCAAAAAGGTGACTAAGCCGCCGCCTGAGGTTCGGCCGAGAGCGAAGAAATCGTTCCCTCAGCCGAAGAAGACGGAGGAAAGTCGTTCGGATCTGGTTACTAAGAACTCGATGGTGTACATTCCCATCCAGCCCCCGATGACGCAAGCTCCGTCCGCGCGACCGCCGCGCCCTCCACATGCAGCGACGCCTACCGTGCAGCCTATCCTTAGACCGCCTATCATGTCTACCACTGGTAAGTACTATAATCTTTTTCTTTATTAACATAATAAATAATTCACATATTATTTTTAAATTTATTTTATGGGTATTTATAAGTTTGCAGTTAGTCTTCGTACATACCTGTAAACATGCGTAATCTAAAATGTTTCTTAACTATTATCATAATTCCTCTCCTTCCAGCAAACAGCCTAGTGAACACAGTGACAACCCCTCTGATGCTGTCCAGCCCGTGTATCTCTACTAGTGGAGTGACCAACAGTACGAGTGTGGCCACGGTGCCCACTGTCCACACAGTGCCACTGATGACGTCAGTTAATGGACAGTGGATGTTCAGCTTCCAGCCTGTTATGTCCGTTGGAGCTATTGATGTGAGTACACTACACTGATGGATTGATTCGACACTTTTGACTTTGAAATTACCTTCATGTTATTTTTTTTGTTGAATGTAACCATAAATAATTACCGTTCACTAAGTCATTTCGTAAGTGTAATGTCTTGTCGAGCTTTTCTCGGTATATTCACGTGATTAACCCGCGATTTTATTTAATTTAGTATGTCTCACGATAGTTATTATAAAAACATGTAATTTTTTCGACTATTTATAATGGCAATAAAACAATATTATTTTATATGATACGCTTCAATTGCGAACTTTTGTAGTTTTGATTTCGTTTTACTCGTGTTACGATTCACTTAGTCCTTAGATTATTTTTATAATTGTATTTTAAAACCAATGTATCTTCTCTATATTTCAGAATACGCCCGCCTCACCCCTAGTAAACGGTATAACAGATAGATCAAACACATCAGTTCCACTGGCGACATTAACTCCAACGTCTAACTCTACGCTAGTAAACTCAGTCGCAACACCGGCCGCGTCAGTAGTGCCTGTCCTCCCGGCCGCTACCCCTGCACCGCCCATCTCTGTACTAAGCAGGACGCCCACCGACAATACTCCTGGAGAGGTATTTATTGCCACTAACTTTCATAATAAATTATACTCCTGAACTCACACACGCTCATATACCCATTGTCAGTATGCATATGTGAGCACCATGTTAGACTATAAGATTTATTAATTTTGTTTTTTATTTTGGTAAGTTTTGTAATTTGTATTATGCGTCAAGCGTGTCTTTGCTTTGCATCACCAAGCGGGCAATATTGGAATATGTATTAGAGACATTGTAGAACATACTTTTTTTAAAAGAATAATAAATGGAGTTTCTTGCTCATTCTTCTCCATCCGAATCAACATTTTGGAATCAGCACCTAGCTTCACTGACGGACTGACTGACCGACTTATTATTATTTTGTATTTGTTGATGTTTCAAAAGTACCAAATTATGGTTTCATTGAAATAAATGCTTTGATTTTGACTAACCTAACTATTGTTAAAAACCACACTAAACTTCATGTAATGATCATTCAAGAAAGACAGGCATACTAATTAAAGTCAAAAAGTGTTCAAGAAAGCTTGTTGTTCAGTATGTAACAAGCCATTGAACTAGGGCTCACCTCATATTACTTCACTTTCATACACTTATCAATACAAAATAGTAAAGCACTAATTCCATCTTTCCTTTGCACTAACATCATGAACTAATATTATATCAGACGGTGTCCGTGTTACAGCCCCCGCGGCTACAACAACGTCCGACGCAGTGCCTACAGAACCCACTGGACTGCAACACTCCTATAGGCACTATGCCGCCGCCCTCCACCGCTGGACCTGTCACCGCCAAGCTCAACCAGAATGCCGTTAAGGTAAACTTATTTCTTCTACTTCTTCTTTTTAACGGCAACACACTTGTTACATCTGGTGTTGAGACTTGCTGGTGTCTATGACCGACGCTGATCGCCTACTATTAGGTGATCCAAATGCTAAAAACTTTTACAAACAAATGACAATTAAATCGTCTTGAGGTGCATTCACATCTTGAAAACTCACAACAACCCTTTCGCTCATAGTTCGTAAAATGCTCGCGAGCAACCATTAGAACAATATAATTGAAATCAAAATATATGAAGTTGAATCAATGATTTACTTTTCTAAATAATCTTGTCTGAGGATTATGTACTTTCTAATTTTGAACTGTTGAAGTGCCATTATTGTTCTAATTGAGGTAAAACCTTCAATTTTGCTTGCCAAGTTACCGTAAAAACAAGAGGTTAATAGCAAGAGACCATTTTCTTACAGTTAGTGCTAACAAAACAATGAAGACTTGATCTAACAGAAATTGTAATCCCCTTTCAGATGACAGACTTCTTCCGGTCATTATTGGAGGACTCGTTGGAGAAGCTGGACGAGCCAGTATCACAGCTGACTACTCTGAAGATGCAGCTAGAGCAGGACAAGTGGCGACATCAACAGGAGATCAAGGAACTTAAACATAACTATGGTAAATTAACCAAAAATAATTGTTTACTCCGGTAAATATACCGAGAAAAGCTCTACCAGTTTCGAGTCCGTAAGACATAGGCTGCGCGAGGTCACCACGTTCGTGCATGCTGCTCATGAGGAAGAGTCCCTCTGTGACTCGAAACTAGTAGAGCTTTTCTTAGTATATTTACCGGAGTAAACCGTTATTTTTGGTATGTCTCACGATAGTTATTATTAAAATATCTGTGGTATAATATATAGACAAAATATTTTTTTTCTTTAAATAAGCCTAAGGCAGTCGTAGTTACGGCTGTGCACAGCCCATCCGTGTAAGCATCTTTTGAATCTCATTTAATTTTTACTATTACGGTAAATTGTGATGTGATTACGTGTGGCAAAAAAAATAGGTGGCATATTATGTCTAATTTGATAGGAATTAAATAAAATATATTTTTAATTTTCGGTACATTCTATTGGTTGCCACTTATTAGGCTCGTATCTTTAATAAATTGCCCATTACTAAATCAGGAGATTAAAATGAAAATTTCGCCAATATTTATGTAATAAAATGAATGTTACAGAACTAACGATAGCAGAGATGCGTGCGTCGTTCGAGAAAGAGAAGGTACGAGCGGTGAGCGAGGCGAGGCGCGCGTCACAAGTTGAACTGGAGACCGCCGTCAAGCAGACCAAGACCAAACAATGGTGAGTCAAAAGACAATCCAGTGTTATCATACTATAATATCAACCATCTTGAATGCAACCTCTTCTTATTCAATAATAAACAATGGGGATGATGACAGGGTATGAAAATTAAAAATATAATTAGTCCGTAAGTTAGGTAATGAAAAAATATTAGACACGTATTTTTTTATTTTGTCGTATAATAAAACAATACTTAGATAAAACGAATCAAAGTTTAGGAGTGGGGGCTAAAACGTCATTTCTTAGTATAAAATGTACTGAGAAGTGACGTCACGCGACATTTCAAATCAATATATCTTCAAAACTATTCGTTTCTGTGAGAAAAGAAAAAATACGTGTCTAATGTTTTTAAATAATCTATCAGACGGACATTAAAATAAAAATTAGTCGTCTACCCTATTGAATTACTATTACATTTTTTCTGAAGCACGCGCAATTGGATGGCCTACTAGTCGAATTCAATACTTTTTTCGAACTGTCAAAACGACTGTCGGCGCATTAGTATGGCCATCGACCATAGAGGCGGCGACGCGCGGGACGGGGGTATAAAAACCTACGTCCGCGCGAGCGCCGCGCTTCTTCTTCTTCATACACACGCCAGCCATGCCATAGCATTCGGGCATTTCTTTGTATCGGTGCGAGCCGGTCTTGTTTCTGATATGTAGTAATTAAACCTATTAATTGTGCAGTCTTCTGTTTTAATTTAAAATAAACCGACAGAGCTACGACAACGACAGTTTTCTATGAATTTTGTACGAGATTGTGTACGTCACGATTCTTTAGCTTCAAACAGCATTCATATTTCTTAAAAAATTGCTTGAAAAATACTAAAATTGAGTTGGTCATAAAATCAATTTATGAAACTTTGATTTTGTTTTTTAATATTTTATTGAATTGGACAGTCGGACAAAAATTTACTTTTGATTAAGGAAAGTACCCAATTATTTGACAAGTTTGTTTTACATTGTCCGATGAATAAACTAAAGGTATGTTGTACCCGCCAGGTGCGCGAACTGTAGCCAGGAGGCCCAGTTCTACTGCTGCTGGAACACGGCGTACTGCGGGTACCCGTGCCAACGAGCGCACTGGGCACAACACTTCTCAGCCTGCCAGCAACAGAGACAGGTGACCTTAATACACATTCACACCTGAATTAACTTAAAACTGCTACATATATTGTATGCGTTGATGATTAGCAATCGACGCCGTAAGGCCAGATGAGTTACTAGTGCGTTGCGGCCCTTTATAGGTTAAGAATTTGAAGAGCGAGCGAGGAGGGAATCGGGCCTATGATAACCTCACTCACACGGCGAAACACAACGCTAGCGTTATTTCACACCAGTTTTCTGTAAAATAACCATAAAAACCAAAATACTGAGGTTCATCGCGTCCAAGAGATATGAACCAACTTTCTTTGATTCCGTGCAACTTTTATGTATTTTTATTTTACAATTAAATGCTATGTATTAATTACTGTTATTCCAACAGGATGGTAGCAACGGTGAATCGCCAACCTCTCCGAAGTCTCTATCAGATAATATGCCAGTAAGTTTATAATTATATTATCTTAGTACCATTTTGTGTAATAAATAGTGCTTTTGTGAACCATCATAATGTTGTAAACCATCATAGTGGCTGGAAAAAAATTTGTCCTAAGATTTCTTTTATTTTGAAGATAAAATGCTTTGTTATTATACAAGGTGTTGTTTTAAAGCCGCGTCACGTCTAGGAGGTAACTCGGCTATCGATTCTGAGTATGAATCAATAAAAAAAATTGTAGGCAAATATTTTCATTTTTCTGTAAATTACGGAAATCCGTAAGTGCGAACTACACGCCGCTATCTTGTAACTAGCTTTATAACGCGGCTCAACACACAAACTCAAACACGTAATTGATATTATTTGTAATTCCATAAAACTCCAATAAATACTGTCGAACTTAAACAATTTATTATAGCCGTATTTTTAACTATTGGCCCGAAATTTTCTCTCACATTGAACCTTTATAACTTCTGCGACATGCCCCCGAGAAATGTCACGGATTCAAAACTACACCATGTGTAACTAGAGCATCATAACATAATTAGTATTATATTATATGCCAACTATCTACCTCTTTATGCAGACATTTATAATAGTGAATAATATTAATACTTAATATTTTATGTAATGTAAATTAATCTGCTACTGCGAATTTAGTTATAAAGTAATTTCATTTTATAAAATAATCATTTTTTTATATCAATTTGAGTGACTCATCACATATTTGCTTTTACTGTTGTTATTTGGTTACTCACGTAGAGTCGTGAAATTGCATGGTTTGAGTGCGTGTGGTCAGTGTTACAAAATGCGCACATATTTATTACACAGCGGGCGTGTATTGGTGTTACAGAAAACGCCCGCTCCGACCCTGACGGTCGGCGGCAAGGTCGCACCCTCGCGCGCCTTCAACCAAGACCCAAATAGCGCACCCAAGACTTCTATTATCGGTACGTATAATATTTATAAATAAACTGGGGATTTTTTATCTGGGAAAAATATTCACTGTTATCGTTCGGCGCTCTGATTGGTCGGCTCCAATGAATCGACCAATTAAAGCGCCTAATACGGTCTCATTTCGATTACTTAACGTAAAACAAACTCGTACTAAGGCATCAGCATGCAATTTACTGGAAAAAGTTAAATAAAACTCCATGCAGCTGCTCCGCAACGTATCGCGTGTTCAGTTCCTGTACCCAGATGTGATGATAAAGGGGTTCCTTTGTCTTCATGATCTCTCATATCCAAGTTAGATTTGAACAAGAAAATATACCAAAAATAGTAAAAATGCTTGTAATATTCTAGGGCAGGGAAGGCGAACCTTTACACATTAGCGTGCCAATTACTTTGAAGAAGATGTTTTACGGTTTTACGTGTGCCATCAACTAATTATTACTATTTACTGTCAATCTGTAGCAATAAAGTATACAATGGCCTGGTAAGCTGTCACCGCAGTCTGAGTACACCTGCAATATTCGAGACACCACAAATGCGTTGTAGGTTTATGATCATTAGTTATGATTCATCAGTTTTGTAGTCACTGTCGTGCCCAAAATGTTGTGTTCCGTGCCATCGACAGCACGCGTGCCAGTGGTTCGCCATCCCTGTTCTAGGGCCAATAACTATGTAATTATTATTATTACATTACATATAAACCGAGGTGTGTTAAACTTGTAACATATATAAATATATATTATATTTCTTGGAAGTATAAGCAGTCTTCTAACAATCAAACGATTTGATTTCAGTAAGTATGGTCGAAGACACCAGCGGCAACCAGACAATGAAATGCGTCGGTACATACAAGCCGGTTAGTGGCAACCAGCTCGCGCCTATGATCAACAACATACCTGTACGTATTTAGTTTAGTCTAATATCAATCTAGAGAAACTAATAAATATTAACTGAACCCTTTTATGCAACACCAGGGTGAAGTGGTGACATTGCCCAATCCATTATTAGGTTGCACCTACATTTTCGGGACGCATTGCTTGAACGGTTTGCTAAAGAAAGTGTACTTAGGCAATGATGTCCGGTTACCCATCAAGCCCGCCTTGCTGTATTACTCCCGTTAGTAGTATAATAACCCGAAGATTGTATTTCTAAAATCTCATGATTCATGACTCCATTTATCTTTCTGAACAGACAACGAGCAATGAAGACAATCAAAACAAGAAAGTGGTCTCTTCTTCGGGAGGGTATTTAATAGTGGGCGGAGCGAGTAACTCGTCGGTGGTGACCCCGGCGAGGCGGACGCACGCCATTCAGTACTTCTCCTGAGGCAGGGACTCTCCAGTCAGATTCGACTTCTTCGAACGCAACAACATGATAGGAAGAAAACGGAACGAATAAACAGTACAAATACCGTTAAACACGTGCAAGTTCTGTCAATGTTTCAACAGTGCAGTGCATATGGTTGTAATCAAAACTTAAGCAATAAGTAGTACTCAACCGTAACGATAGTCATTTTGTGGTCGTCCACAGATAAAGTAGAACTAGAAGTCTAGTTACTGTCGATATTTTTATATCATGCATAGATAATAACGTACAATCAATGCCTATGAACTAGAATGATTGTCGTTAGTTCAAATTTTAACATTATAGTTACTCTGATTGTTAATTATTGTGAATGTTTATCGTGACTTGAGGCTGTATCTAGCTTGAGTGTACACAACCATGTTCATAATCAAGTAAATTAATACAAAAGTAGTTAGGAGAAACGCTAGTTTTGATCGAGATGTATTGCAGATTAAGTTCACAGTGGTGTAAGCGCATTCTCAGCGTTATGAGTTAAGAATTATGACATATATTTATATTTTAATGATCATTATTAAAACATAAACTCTTTTCGTGCTATCTCAGTAGCTTTTGCTACTCTTCGTGTCATGATTGTAGCCTAAAGAGCTATGTACAATTGTACACTAAATGTATTAGTGAAATTCTTCCATTAAAAGTTCAAAGTATGCGAACGGCTGCCGTTTTTAAATTAGTCTCGGCTAGATTTTTCATTTTAGTAGAAGATAAAATTTTTAATGATGTAAATAAATTATGTGATTTTAGGAAAAAGTGGTAGCCATTTTATTTTTGCAAACCAATTATATTGTTAACTAGTCTCCCTTGACCCGAGTTTTTAATAAAATACTGATTGCACGAGCAAATATATAAGGAAATGGTAATAAGTGGGACTATTTTTATTTTACATACCAAGTTGTTATATTAGTTTCATTTTCTTTGCAACTATTAACACTCCACTCAACATAGAGTGGATATTTTTATGATTAAGTAAAATGCATGTTGAAATATAATAATTTGTTATTTTTCCACAAAATCTCAATTAAGTTCTTATTGATTATTTTCCTTCGATTCTGAGCTTTTTTGTTTTATGTAAATACTGTAAATTGATTAATGTTACATTCTGATTTATAAAACGCTATGTAATTAGCAATGGTAGTCTATTTGCTGGGACTTGAAGAATTGCTCAGAAAGGCTGCAAGCAGCGAAATGAAACTGATAGGTCTGGGGCCTAGTGCGAATTTGTTTAACATAAATGAGATCGAAACATTTATGATTCGGCGTTTTGATTGGCCTGCTCCAATTTAACCAATCTGAGGGCTATACTCGGTAATGTTTCGATCATGTTAAAATCAATTAAACTCGCACTTAGCACTCTGGTTATAATGATACAATTACGTCATAGTTCGTGGTATATGGTATTTGAGAGCGGAAATACCTCTTTGTGGGGCTCTCCTTACATGACTCGCGTGTCAAGTGATAAGATAGAAAAAAGTTGTTGATGCGACAATATGCACTCAACGGCGCAGTCATTCTATACTGCCAAACAAAATTAAGCGCATACAATTGATCGTTTCTTTTAGTAATTGAGTTGCCCTTATCCTTCTCTGATAGATTTTTTCTATGTCATTCTCTCAATTTTTGTATAACGGAATATTGTTACTCATAATGTAACTACTACGTATTGTTATAATTTTAAGACTGTTAATGTTAAGTTCACGTGTAATGTGCATTTTAGTTTTTACTCGGTAGGTAACAGTGGTTGAAGGCTGAAGGCCATCCCTTCATTTTATAAATCGTGGCTGTATATAATTGGCTGCAGTGTAAAATAATTGTCAAGCACTAAGCAGTGGCTTATTGGAAGTGCTTATTAATTAAATAGACATGTGATGAATACACTCTACAAGTGTATTTTAATTTATCAAACTTGCAATAAAGTAATTCTAAAGATTCTCCTACTATGTTAGCATTAATCTCCTTCTAAGCATGAACAGTAGGGTCGTCAAGTGATGTCTTTTTTGTAAATAGTAAGTTTATGTTACTATTAAGAGCTTTTAGTACATTATTGTACCTACAAAACTGTTTCATTTGACTAATAAATGATGAAACCGATTCTATTCTTTTATTTCATGAAATTTTAGTAGACTCGTCTGCCTTTAAATCTTTAAGGTAGTCGTCTCTCCGGCAACGACGAAGGAGTAAGGAGTGGAGCTAGAATTGATAACGGGTTCGCGACCCGCGGGGAGCGAGTGTGTATAGTAATATATTTCCAATAGTTTCTCTGGCTAGTGAACAGTCGGCGATCGATTATTATTATACGCATCTCTTTTGTTTATTTGGAATCTGTTTACTATTTATATTATACGTTTTTTGAGGGAGGAAATAGCCGACAGCAAAGAGTAGAAGTATTTTTTTTTTAGGCGGGAATAACATCGAATGACTGGTCCCGCCTGGGTGAGGCGAGAGGGAGTGTCAGACTCTTACTGACTAAAAACCACCCCGTTCCTTCTCCTGCACGTCGAGCCGGAGCCCCGGTTACCCGTTAGGTTCTCCGCGACAAGAGTATAAGTATAGACAGTCGTTTTCTCGTCGGCGGTCGGATAAGTGCCATATAGGTTATCATCTTGACAGACGGACAGTAAACTCTTCAGCCTTCTAACAGGTTCCCGTAATCCATTAAAAAGTTATCTATAGTTGTGTAAGAATGTATGCCTGTAGTTTACAGTTCGAATATCTAAGGCACACGAAGTAATAATAATCGCTGCGTCTGCATCCCACAAATGTATTGCCATAGGTACGCAGATAATAGTAAACGGAAGTTTCGTGTTACATGTGATATCGAGCTTTTTTCATCGACATAGCAGAAATAATTACCTATACCTATTTATAAACAGGCATTCAATAATACAGCTCGCTAAATTTCACGAGTGCGTGTTGTTGTACGACACATCTAGATTGTTTTCAAACGGGTCAATCAGTACCTTAATCAGGAAATATTATTGTTTTTACGGGGGGCGTACGTCGAGCCAGTACCGCTAATTACTATGCTACATCGGTATTCGTTGGGGCACCTATATTTGACATTTTACAAAATGTCTATCCATGCCAAGGTCATTCTCACCCTATCCCTTAGGCATAGTTAAAAAATGCTTTTGCGGGGCGTGACGATATTATTTAATGAATACTTCAACAATCCAGCAATCACAAGTGGCTGTCCTAATGTACAACCAACTCATAACTCAAGTTCCCAGCAAGAGATAGGAACCTATACCACACTGGGAACTTAAGTGGTTCTCAGAATAGCAACAGGGAATTTTGACTTTTGTTTTTATACCACGACAGTGGCAAAAAAGCACACGGTCCACCTGATGGTAAGCCGTTACAGTGGCCTATGTACGCTTGCAACGCTTAGGGCATAACATACCTGGGGCCTTGCAGACCTTTAAGAAACCTATTCACTGCCCTCTTGAAGAATCCCATTTTGTACCCCCTAGGAAAACCACGGCATGGAGTTCATTCCACAATTGGTCCATGGGAGGAAATTACTCTTCACTCAACCTTAAGTGCCATAGAGTGGGTGGATGTTGTTAAATGGAAATGAAACAAAATAAATAATAAATGAAAAATATATTAGTTTCTTAAGCTAACAGTGATTGTACTTAAGAGTTACAATATGAGTTGCTTGACAAACACTTTTACAGTAACAAAAAGTGAACTTGTATTAATCTATTTATGTCTAACTATAGCAATCTTGATAGACATCAGATCCATAATAATTGTTTTCATAAACAAAATAATAACAAAACAGGTAGTTTGAATTATGGGGTTGGCGGGTGAAACCTAAATCCAGATGACCTTAAGTAATTGTGTTGAAGTTTCACTTATATAACAACATTAACGATTTGAACATTAGTTGTTACAATTAATATTAGGATTGGCATAATTATAAGAAATTATTTAATAATAGGTGATAAATGAAGACAGGCAGCATTCTTAGCTTAGGAGTAAAAAAAATGAATAGTTTACACATACAGATAATATATATAATCCATGTTATGGGTACTAGCTATGCTAGCTATTTTGAATTGCCAACCCCATTGTTCAGACCTACACCGTGTCTTTCTAAATTACCACACGGTATCTACTCATGAATCCCTCATATGACACGAGGTTTACACAAAAGTAAATAATCAAAATAAACATCTTAAAACTAGGTAATAAAAGAAAAACAAAAAAATGAAACGCATGACTCCATCCATGCTTGGCTTACAAAAAAGTAAAAAAAATACTGAAACCATAGGTTTTTTGCTTTAATAATACTTTCTGGCTCCAGCCTTAGCCAGCCTGTCTGCCATCTCATTACCATGGACTCCCTGATGAGACGGCACATGCTTCCACTTGACTTCGAGGTTGCGCTGGGCACGATCAAGTTCCCTGAAGTCACTCTCATTCTTCACTGGTTCCCCAGATGCCCTTCTCCAGTCGTTCTGTTTCCAAGCTAAAACAAAAGAAAAACATTGTTAATAGTGCATCATCATTGGTTGTTGCCGTCGACTGCCGGAGATAGTCCACTTATATTAGGTAGAGGCACGTAAAATAGGCATCTGCCTATATTTTATGTAAAAAGATAATATCATCCGATCATCCGTTTAGGATACTCATTGACAAAATAGGGCTTACCTAATAGGTACAAAAGTTGTAAAAGAAAAACGGTATAGGTAGGTACCAAGAATTTAAGCATAAGCAGGTACTTGCGTACCTATACCGGATCAAAAGTTAAGTTATTTACACATACCTGGCATCCATTTGGTAGCAGAGTCGATGAGGAATTTCGAGTCGGTGACAATCTCCAACTTGTCGATGCCGTTATCGCGGGCTTGCTGCATTGCTCGAGTGGCGGCTTGAATCTCGCCGCTGTTGTTTGTGGCCCGACCGCTGACTGGGGCACTCACGTTGAGAGGATGGTCAGGCCCCCAGTATACGCCATAACCAGCTTGTGCTCCACTCATGCCGTTGGATGAGCAGGCTCCATCAGTGTAAACTTTCCTGAACCCGTCACTCATTTTTAGTTCGTAAAAATTTTTCTTCGATTTATTTAATTGAGCTTGATGCGTCGTCGGTTCTCGATAGTTAAATGAGAAATATAGCTGTGTTTCGACTTCAGGATATTCAACAAATAATCTCAAGTGGTCGCTTTGCTTTCAAAACAAAAACTGCGACGAATCTGCCTGCGACGCGGTTCGTTCGTGGAATTCTGTTTGTATGTGTGTGGGTATATTACGAATTTCTTACACTCAAATTGCGCTTCGATTGGTTGTTCCTTGACCTTGAAGACAAAAACACACCAATAGAATTCGAGATAATTATTTGAATGCTCCGGTTACCCAATAAACATTTTTTTTTCTAAGTTGCCCCTTGACTCTGGATACACATGCATAACTACAACGACAGACGACTCTTTCATTCAACGGTGACCTATAATTTTTAGGTACTTTTAGAACCGGTTTGTATTTATAAAGAAATCTAAACAAAGATACCTATTATCATAGCTATAATGTGGTACTTACATGCTGGTTTTTATTTAAAGGTATTTAATTTTGATGGGCCGACGCTTGACCAATACCTATCTCGCCTGGTGGTAAGCGATGATGCGGTCTACGATGGATGGAGCACGTCGTCTCATAAGCACGTCCCTTTATGATCACAGATAAAGTTCAATATCGTAATTAGTAGGTACCTACCTAAGCTTTCTACAAATATCTAACTAATAGTGCCCTTGATTAGTGTCTAACTTGCCCTTGATTTTAAGTTCACGATGGAAATAATTTGCTTTACCTATTTGCACAAAACCAACGCGCATTTTATTCACTACAAAGAGAAATAATACGTCTGCACGTTTGACACAGCGCAGCGTCCCGGGTCACGGCCGCAGGCAGATGAGGAACACCGCGGTAGTTTTAGCCGGTAAGAGTCCGGCACACCAGCCCGTTGTCCTCACGACGTGGGAAATTCATGAGGATTTCCATTGCGTTATAAAAAAAAAAGCGCAGTGGCTAGGCAACCGTCTGCACGGCACGTGTGTTGAGTGCGAGTCGCAGGTTCGAATCCCGTACGGAACAAACCTTTGTGTGATCCGCAAATTCATATTCTGGGTCAAGTGCAATAAGTCAAGTTTTTTAATAATTGCACTTACAACTTAGGACAAAATTCTACCGTGAGGTATGGTTTTCAAAAGAAAATTAAGTTAACAATTTACAATATAACATAATATAATATCACGCCTTTTTATCCCCGAAGGGGTAGGCAGAGGTGCACATTACAGCACTTAATGCCACACTGTGTACAGTGTGGCATTAAGTGCTGTAATGTGCACAAACTAGGTGTTACATTGTAATGTAACACCTAGTTTTCACTATTTATGTTATGAGTACCATATAATAGGGGGTGAGCCTATTGCCATATACGTTTCCAGACTCCGTGCTACTACTGAGATTTTTTAAAACCCAGTAATACTTTGCCCGACCCGGGAATCGAACCCGAGACCCCTTGCCCGGCAGTCGCACTTGCGACCACTCGGCCAACGAGGCAAATAACATTGAAAATAAATTAATGTTCCCCATTTTCTGAATACTAGCGCGACTGCTGAACAAACCATGTCCGGGTGCGATTCTCGTATCGGTTTCGGTATTAATGGGATAAAGAAAAAAAAAATCAGTATAACATCCCAATTGTTGAAAAAAAGAGGAATAAAATGCGTTCAAATAAGAATAAATGCTTTATAGGTACAGTTATAGTTACAAATACACTTCAAAGACAAGTTCACAGCCAAATATTTCTTCAAAACACATAATAACAACAACAAGAGATATCCAGCTATTTCATTACACAGTCACATTACCACTTAACAATAACTAATACAAATCAGCAGGATAGAATAAAGTCAAAAAATTACATTATTTTTAGTCAGACGAAACAATATCAAAAATAATAACCGACCTCAATCGAAAAAAATATCGTTTATTATTTACTTACTAGCTTTTGCCCGCGGCTATGCACGTTATTTTCTCGTTCCCGTAGGATGTTCCTGAAATCTTTGGTTTAAAAGTATCATATGTCCGTCTCTTGGTAAGCCCCACCAATTTTTGGCCAAATCGATAAAGCCGTTCTTGAGCTATATAAATAATGTGACTAACAACATTTTCTTTTATATAGTAAGAATTAATTCAGGCCGGTATTTGGTCAAGTAGTATTTAATGAAATTGAGAAAATCATTTTCGACATTATTTAGATTAAATATCTTTCAAAAATAGAAGATTAAGGTTAAGATTGGTTATTATTTTCAGCCAAATTTGAGATCTCTGCTCAAGCGCAGTTGAAAAGGGATGGATGTATCTGTCGAGTATATTTACATCTCTTTTTAACTATACTGGAAAAGAGATATTGACTAGTGTGTCATTCTATAATATCTAGCCATTCTATAGCCTTAGTATCTGATATATTACCTGCATAGTACCCTGCCCTTTTCAGTAAAAAAATAAAAATTGTGTTGACTAGTGCCACAGAAATTTTTTGATATTATAAAGTAGTCACAAGCATATCATCATACCCCAATCTTTGAAATACATTTTCAACTTTATTACAAAAAGAATAGGTTGAAAATGTAATGAAGAAATAAAGTAGTTTGACCCGCTGGTGTTTATGTAATGCCATATGGACTAACTTAATTATACATTGATCAACAATAGAACAGTTACAACAACCTTATAGTACTTGATAAACAGTTATTTACAGCCTTTTTCAATGTTAGGCCTACTTATCTGTAGATTTGCTTATTGGGTACCTTTTATTTTCAAAACATTTTGTATAAAGCTTTAAACTAATGTCCAATTTCTATTTCTAGTAAGCAAACCTACACACAATTATTAAACCTGGCCATTAGCTGCAACAAATCCTATCTAAATAATTCTATTCACATTTTTAGAATAAGTATTGTGAGACATACTGGATTAATCGCTTGACTGCCGGTATTTAAGACACAATAGAAAATGCATTGTGTCTCGCGTAGATCTACGTTCCGGCACACTACGGGTTAATTAATAATACCATTTCCTCACATAAATGTACTGAGAAAACCTCTACTAATTTCAAGTCATACATTAGTACAAATACCGTCATACTCAGAGTCATTTAATGGCTACTTAACCCAGTCTTTAGCAATTGTTTTTGGAACAAAATCGTTACTAAGGAATAGTTTAAGTAATCATTCAATGTCTTTGAGTACGGCAGTCAGTCTTCCTGCGTCAGTACAGTACAGGTGACGTTGCACAATCTACTGTCAGCATCCCTTTGTGACTCGAAACTGGTAGAGCTCTTCTTAGTATATTTACGATTCTGTTCATTTATTATACATGGCAGCACCAGCTTTAGCCAGTTCGTCGGCCATTTCATTGCCATGTATTCCCCGATGTGCCTCCACATAGTTCCATTTGATCTGCAGCTTGTGTTGCACACTGTCCAAGTCTTTGAAGTCTTTCTCATTCTTTACTGGTTCTCCCGATGCCAACTTCCAGCCTTTACGCTTCCAACCTGGAATGTGATATAAATAGAATTATTAAAGATGCTTGAATTTCTGTTATAATAAAGATTTTTTAAATACTTTCTATATTTAAATTTTAATACGGCATCAATTTATTAACACAATCTAATCTTTTAGAATGCACTTATTATTTATCAGATAATTACTAATGATGAATGTCGTTGTTATTATGCATATGCTAGAGCAACATTGCTTAGATATAATTTATAATTGATTTATAAAACTAATTACCAGGCATCCATTTAGTAACAGAATTGATGACAAACTTGGAGTCTGTGTTTATTGCTAATTTCTGTATTCCATTCTGGAGAGCAATTTTGATAGCTTTAGTAGAAGCTTGGATTTCTCCACAGTTGTTGGTGGCGCGACCAGATACTGGCTCGCTCACGTTGAGAGGGTGGCCATCGCCCCAATACACACCGAGGCCAGCCCGGGCCCCACTCCTGCCATTAGCCGAGCACGCCCCATCTGTATACACCTGCACATAACCTTCACTGTCAATATCAAACTCCTCACCACCACTAGTCTTACGTCTTTTATTTTGAGGAGGCTCTATAAGGATAGTTTTCTTAGTCCCTTTCTTATATATTTTATCTACACCCTTCTCAAATGTTTTCAGTCTTTTCTCTATATCATCCATCTGTTTCGTTATTATTGTGTTCAAATCGTCGGAATCATCTGAGTAATCACTATCATTTTCTCTTGCGTAGCCTTCACTAACTTCTGATTTCCTTTTGAGTTCTTTTGCCACATGTTTACTTTGTACTGTGCTATTACTAGATGTTGGCTTTTTAAGGTTATTTGAAGAAGTTGAAAATGGTTTTGACTGATTGCTAGGCTTTTTCGATTTACTGTTATTGCTAAATCCACCTTCTGTAGTGATAAAATCTTGAGCGCTCATAACTGAATCGAATTTCTTGTACCTGGCACCGGGAAACCCTTTCACTTGAGCTTCACAATCAGGCCAAGTCATAAATATACCTGTTGTTCGACCTCTGGCCACTGCATAAAACGGCATTTTTAAAATTCTGAGCGGTACACGGTTTAATATTAATTTACTTTTCAAAAGAACGTTCAACTGAGCTACCCCCAGGAGTGACATTGGATTGTTTATATGACATCTGTCATTTAAGTGACAGTGACATTAATTTTAGAGATGTGATAAATACATTTAACGTAATTGATTTGTTATGTCGGTTATCGATAATCAACACACATTTAAAATAAAGTCAATCAATATGAGTCAGTCAAAAGTTCATAACATAACATATAATATGTTATGTTATAACTTTTGACCGTATATGTAACATATACTCTTCGGGGATAATGCCACTGTATATAACTAATAAGGGGTTAGCCTATTGCCATATACTGGGCACAATTCCAAACTCCGTGCTACTACTGAGAATTTTTAAAATAAACAATTAATACTTTGCCCGATCCGGGAATCGAACCCAATTGACTCGA